ATTCGATCGATGACTCTCTGTGCAGGGAAAGAAGGCGGGCAGCTAGACGGAGGAGCAGTGATGCCAAGATCTTGAATATTAGATAATCACTCTTGAACCCCGGATAGCACGGCTGGGCATTGAAGCCAGCGGCACCAGCCGTCACCCACTGGCCAGCCAGCAAGCCAGCCTCGCGGTTCTGGGTGGAGCAACACGCATCCCCCAGGCTGCCTGCTGAGCTGAGCTGTGACGGGGATGGCCTACGACTGCACTCCAAAGGAAACGAAGCTCTCCAAAGCTCCCCCCATCACGACCAAAGACTCAGCCAATCCACCTCACCACGACGAGCCCTTCTTCATCGACCTCGACAAGCGACTCGACACTTCGAATTCGCATCCTCCTCATCTCTAGCAGAACAACCCTCATACATCAGCCAAGATGGTACGTCCCGTTCTCCTGCCTCGTTCTCTCCACCACACGGCACCATATCTGTCCATCATGAACCCTCGCCATGCGGATTGGGCCCCACGCCGTCCCGGCGGCGACAATAACAACAACATGTGTATGCTGACGCCTCAACCCCCTCTCTCTCTCTAGACCTCCATAGGCACAGGCTACGATCTCTCCAACTCCATCTTCTCCCCCGACGGCCGCAACTTCCAGGTCGAGTACGCCGTCAAGGCGGTCGAGAACGGCGGCACCTCGCTCGGCATCCGGGCCAACGCGGCGTCGTCCTCGCCGTCGAAAAAGGTCGTCACGTCGAAGCTCTGGAAGCCCAATGCAACACGCGCATCGCCACCGTCGACCGCCACCTCGGTGTTGTCTACTCGGGCATGGTCCCCGACGGCCGCCACTTTGCCGACCGCGCCCGCGACGAGGCCCGCTCCTGGCGCGACACGTTCAAGACGCCCATCCCCGTCGCCGACCTCGCCAGCCGCATGGGCGGCTATCTGCAGGCCTACACCCTCTACTCCTCCGTGCGGCCCTTTGGCATCACCGCCATTGTCGCCGGCTTTGACCCTTCGACCCCGCTGCCCGTCGACGGCGAGGTCGGTTCCGGCCCCGCCGCCGGTCCCGGCGGTGTCAAGCCCAACCAGAAGCACGGTGGCCCTGGTCTCTACATGATTGAGCCCTCGGGCCTCTACTGGGGCTACTACGGCGCCGCCACCGGCAAGGGCCGTCAGGCCGCCAAGGCCGAGCTCGAGAAGCTCGACCTCGCCGGCGATGGCATCTCCCTTGAGCAGGCCGTCAAGGAGGCCGCCCGCATCATCTACGTCGCCCACGACGACAACAAGGACAAGGAGTTTGAGCTCGAGATGAGCTGGATCAGCGACGTCGACGGCCCCACCAAGGGACGCCACGAGGCCGTCCCCAAGACCCTGCTCGAGGAGGCCGAGCGGTTAGCGAAGAAGGCCCTCGAGGGCGACGACGACGAGGAGGATGACAAGAAGGACGACGACAAGATGGAAGAGTAGACCCCGTCATGTTGCGCGTGTCAGAGGGAGGGAAACGGCCTGTGTGTGTACGATTACCAAGGACAAGGGCAAAGCGGCGTCGGATCATGAGGATCATAGACTACGACTAGCTAAATTAAGCTGGAGTTGAGACATTTTTCTCTCGTTTCAGACTGTCTGTGGATTTTTCCCTCAAACAGTCTACCACTGGTGTTGGAAGGAGGGCTCGTTCGATAACATGCAGTCTCCTGGCTGCAAACAGGGTGCTTTACAGAGCATGCCTCCATCTAGTCTGGTCTTCTACGGGCCTGCAATGATGAAACCCCAATATCAGCATGGCCCTTTTTTGGACGTCTGGGAGGCTGTTGGGATGCTGATGGTGCGCGTGTGCAGTCAGGAATAAATCGATTGCATACAGAACACATCCGGACCACCATGTCAGTACAAAGTACAATACATCGACATGATGAACGAGTCATCTGCCACACAAGTCAGGAAAATACCAGGCACAACACCATACATGATGACATGAATACACAGAGCACCGAAACAGCGTCGTAAAGGTTGAATAGCATTTTTTAGGTATTCAGTAGTACTGCGCAGCCACCCAGACTGCGCACCGGGACATTGAAATCTCGTTAAACCGTCCTCCCCCGTGTCCGCGCACAAACCACGCTGAAAATCAATTTGAAACCTTGCCCTCCATCATAGTCCAAGAAACTCCAGTCTACGCCTTGACAATCTTGCAAACCAGGTCGGAACCATCGACAGAGTCGCCCTCCTTGACCTGCAGGCTGGAAACCTGGCCGTTGTGCGGCGCCGAAATGACCATTTCCTTAAAACGATTGTTAGCATTTGGTTCGGTCTGTTGCTTAGAGAGTAGAGACTTACCATCTTCATGGCGCTAAGCACAGCAATAGGGTCACCCTTCTTGACATCCGAGCCCTCCTTTGACACGCAGCTCGACTAGCACACCAGCCATGGGCGCGCCAACCTGGCTTGAGTCGCTGAGGTCGGCCTTGGGGCGCGTGACGTTCTCAACCGAGGCCTTGTTGTCGTCGACAGTGACCTGGCGGACCTCACCGTTCATCTCGTAGAACACCTCACGCTGGCCAGTGTTCTCGCTGAGGGGCCCAACTGCGAGCAGCTTGAGGATGAGGACCTTGCCCTTCTCCAGCTCGACGTGGAATTCCTCGCCAATCTCTGGCTTTGACAGGAAGTACTTGGTAGGCAGAACGGACAGGTCTCCGAACCTCTGGACAAACTTCTTGTAGTCTTCGAAGACCTTGGGGTACATGACGTAGGACGCAATGTCCGTCTCCGTGACGGGACCGCCAAACTTCTTACCCAGCTCGCGCTTGACCTTGACAAAGTCCACAGGCTCCAGGGACAGACCAGGACGAGCGTCAAGCTTTCGGCGACCACGCAGAGCATCGGAGCGGAGCGGCTCGGGGAAACCGCCGAACGGCTGACCCATCATGCCTTCGAGGAACTCAAGCACGGAGCCAGGGAAATCGAGCTCGCCGGCGCGAGCCTTGACATCCTCGGGAGAGAGTTTGTTCGAGACCATGAACTGCGCAAGATCACCGACAACCTTGGAGGTGGGCGTAACCTTGACAATGTCGCCGAGAAGGTCGTTGGCGTGCTCGTAGGCCTTCTTGGTCTCGGCCCACTGAGTGCCGAGGCCAAGCTGCTGGGCCTGGAACATCATGTTGGTGAGTTGACCGCCGGGGATCTCGTGCTCGTACACCTCGGGATCGGGGCCAGCAAGGTGGGCCTCGAAGGGGGAGTACAGGAGACGAAGCTGAGACCAGTAGGTGTCAAGGGCGCGAACGTGGGCAGGGTTCAGGCCAGGGTCGAGGTCACTGCCCTCAAGGGAGGCGAGGATGGCATTGATGCTGGGCTGCGAGGTCATGCCTGACAGACTGTCGGTGGCGGCATCAACAGCATCGGCGCCAGCCTTGGCGCAAGCGACCATCGAAGCGACACCGGTACCGGCCGAGTCGTGGGTGTGGACGTGGATGGGAAGGTCAGGGTATTTCTCGCGGATGGCACCGATGAGCAGAGTAGCCGCATGGGGCTTGAGAACTCCAGCCATGTCCTTGATGCCGAGGACATGAATGTCAAGGGCAACGAGCTTGTCAACAAGATCAAGGTAGTACTGCAGGTTGTACTTCTTGTTGGGGTTCTAGATGAAGCGTGAGTTAGCACCGAACCAGTAGGGTGAATAAAGTGACCCGCGACAAGAGGATAGCGGAACAGTAGTTTGAAAAAGTCAAGAGACCGAAGATCAAAGTCAAGCTAGCCGCTCGACTCCGCCACCTTACTGAGGTGCTTCTTCGTTGCCAGGTGAGCGTTCAGCATCTGGTGCGTTTTGTTGGTCTAGTCGCATATGCTGCAGTGATACAGGCGTCCAGCGAGGTTTTCATCGTGTCGCTCCTTGCCGCGTGTTCTGATGACCCCGACGAGGGTTTCGCAGTTTCCTTTAAGCAGCTTGGAGCAGAGAAATCGAAGAAAAGCTTGAGGCGATGGGCAATGCGGCAAAACAAGAAAAGACAGACAATCCGGGGTGTTGAACGTGAGTCATGAGATAGCTTGAGTGGTGATGGAGATGAGGGGGAGAGGTGAGAGGGAGGAAATGTTATGGGAGTCAGGGGGAGGACAGAAAGAGAAGACCATATTCCCGGCACAGCAGCTTTGGAGTAGCTAATGTAGGAAAAGAGACGTTCAGATCCCGAGGGAGACCTAACACCGAGAAAGAAAAATGCAAGAACGAAAAAAGAAAAGGTACATACCAGCACTGTGGTGAGAAATGTCAGCAGGTGTGATACAACAGTCAGGCGGGAAGGGGAAACTCACTGTCTCCTGAGTAGCAAGCCACAGCTTCAACAACACCACCAGCCTTGTGAACGGCCTTGACACCAACCTCGATCTGGCTGACGTCGTTGAGAGCGTCAAAGACGCGGAAGATGTCAACACCGCACTTCTTGGCCTGGTCGACAAACTGCTCGATGGCATTGTCGGGAAGAGAAGAGTAGGCGACACCGTTGGCACCGCGAAGCAACATTTGGAAGGGGATGTTGGGCACGAGCTTCCTCATGCGGCGCAGCCTGTCCCAAGGGTCCTCGTAGAGGAAGCGCATGGCCACATCAAAGGTGGCACCACCCCAGCACTCGAGCGAGTAGAGGTTGGAGAGAGCATGGCTGGTCTCGTGGGCAATGTTCAGGAGATCGACAGTGCGGACGCGAGTGGCCAGCAGAGACTGGTGGGCATCACGCCAGGTGGTGTCCATGAGCAGGCAGCCCTTGTACTCGCGGACAGCCTTGGCAAAGGCCTTGGGGCCCTGGTCAAGAAGAATCTGCCTCCAGCCCTTGGTGGCGGGGGCAGAGGTGTCAAGTTTGGAACCGTCGGGGTTGAGGAGAATAGGCTGGATAATGTTTCCTTTGAACTTGGGCTCGCCAACCTGGCCCTTTGATTCTGCTGCCGTTGACGT